CCTTCCAAAGAAGACCTAAAGTACTAGTAGTGTTTGTATAACACATTGGATACAATTGACTCGTCTTGGGAGATTTTTTTTCCACGTGAAATTAGAACTCCAAAATGATGTAATAATATTCTTATAACCCCTATACACCTTTTTGAATCGTTTAAATGTACTTTACTTATAACCCCTATACACCTTTTTGAATCGTTTAAATGTAATTTAGACATTTTTTTCGTACCCAAATGGTCAGACGATCAAATGGTCATACGGTCATACCTTGGTCAGACGGTCATACCTTGGTCAGACGGTCAGACTTGTTTAAAATTGCATAATTCATCGTTTTAAAAATGTTAACATAGTAATAATCATATCATATAATAAATTTAATGAGTATGATCAGTTTGACCACTTTGATGATTATGACCAGCGTTACCAATTTTGTGAGAATAATCATTTTGACCAATTTGACAAGTATGACCAGTTAGAAGTACGACCAATTTGACCATTCTGACACATATGTATGACCAGTTTTCCAAATTCTTTCATTTGGATGAATTTCACATATTTAACGATTTCGATCAGTTAGAATAACTTGAATCATGGTATTGCTGATGAAATGCCCAAACTTAATATTGTTTTTCACAACAAATTTAATAACGTATTTTAGAAACAATATTTACCTATTATTTAGATTTGTATTTAATCGATGAAATGCTCAAACTTAATATTGTCTTTTCACAATAAATTAGCTGAAAAATAGATTGGAAGTAAAGAGCGTTGGAAGATTATAGAATGGGCAAGAAGAGAGACTGTAGTTTGTTCCACATATGCGAATGGAGAGAGAGAGGTGGAAGAGGAGAGAGAGTTGAAATATTTTTTAAAATTAAAATATTAAATAAAAAAGGAAGGGTATTTTTGGAAGGATACAATTATAAGGTTATGAGATGATGTTAGTTTTTTTAAAAAGAGAAGGGAGGTCATCCCATGAAGTAAAAATGACATTTAAAATCATTTTTGCAATTCCCCCGATGATATAGGCATCATCACACTATTTAGTGGATGCCATTTAGAGTAAGTAGATTAATTATTTTCCTTTTTCATTTTTTTGGAATAAGAGAAATTGGTTGTTTACAAGCAAAATAAAGCAATTTTATAAACGCGAGAACACATTTGGAAATAATACAATAAGTCAAATGAGGACTAATGTATACCCATTTAAAAAAAAAAATAGTTGCTTTAATGAGTGGGCAATATTCGTTAGAAACTTGAATATATCATCTTGAATTATGAATTGTATCTTGCTCTATTAAATCGTACCTTATTCTATTTTTAAATTTATTTTTTTTCTGTATACTTTATTTTGTTTTTATTTTAAATTTGGAAAAAAGTTTCTAGAGCATGATACCAAAACAATTCATATTCTTTTTCGCATCATGTAAATCTGTAACACTCACATTTCACACTAGAAAAATTAATATTAATATTCATAATTTTTCAAAAATTAATATTAATAAATAAATAGAAATGAACCGGACATCCGATCCAAAATTATTAGAGATATGTGTTCAAGATTAAATCAGATCAAAATTTGAATATGGCGATGGAGCATATCCGATCTCATCTCAACCATACTTGGATTTTTTTCCATCCCTATATATAAAAAGTATTCTTGGTCATACAATATTTGGTACGTTATATTATAAACAAAAGATATATGATATATATTATGTAATATCGCGATAAAAAAAAAATAGAAACCCATATATGGACTTGAAAAGATTTTTCCAATTTAGACTAAGTTGACCAATTTTTTTTTTCAAATTCAAATTGGTTAAGTTTGAATGTAATTATGGGTTTTATTGTATATATGGTTTAGCTACCATTCCAAAGTTTGACCAGCCTCAAAAAGAATATTACAATTAAATTGGGGTTGTCGCAATATTGAAATAAACCTAACCTAAAAGGCCCAAAATATAGGGCTGTGATGTTGGGCCAATTAAAAGTAGGCCCAAAAGAACTGACCAATGAAGGCCCACATTTCGATCGTCTCTCTCCGAAACAATTCAGCATTAGGGGTTTTTTTTTTTATACATCTGCTACACTTCGGGCGCACTGACCGAGTAAACCCAAATCCACATGCACGAGCCTACAACACACATGTGAAATGTAAATCAACCGTAACTGACAGATAATAGGTGAGCGGGTAAGGAATCGAACCTCCAACCTCTCATTATGTTGACCATGCTCCTTGTCAACTCACCTAGGGGTTTCTCCCAATTCCGCATTAGGGTTTTTATTGAATCTGCGTTCGAACGTCGAGAACCCTACACCGTGAGGGGTTCAGAGATCCGTTCTTAGTTGGTCGGACGAAAATGGCGATGCGACAGCTAAGTCGGACGAAGAAGAACCTGGAAGAAGCGCTTTACGGTCGGCTCTTGAAAAACGGCGGTTCCGAGGTCAGCGTTCGACATCAGCTGAATCAGTTCCCACCACTTCGGGTTCTGACTCGAAAACCATCTCAATCCTGGAAATGGATTCGTTTTGATAATGAAGATGATGTGAGAACGTTTGGTTAAAATTAAAATTGACACGTCATCATTCGGAAGGTCATATCACCATTGCGGGTTAAATATGACATTTTAGACTTATTTTTATATATGAAAAAATCCTAAAAAAAATATTTAAATTTACAATGACAAAAAAACACTAAATTTTATTTTTTGTCAAATAAATATTAAACTTTTTAACGAATCTAAAAAAATACTGAACTTTTTAATTGATCTGAAAAATACATAAACTTTTCTGCGATTATTGAAAAAACACTGAACATTTTTAGTGATAAAAAAATATATGAACTTTTTTCGATTGTAAAAAAAAAACTAAGTAAAATAATATGACGTGTTTGCATCTCATTGGACCACGTCATTCATTTTGTTTATTTTGACAATCGTAGAAGAGTTAAGTGTTTATTTTGTCAAACTTAAAAGTTTAATATTTATTTGATAAAGTAAAAAGTTCAGTGTTTTTTTTTTGTTAATCCCACAAAAAATCCCAAACTTGTTAAAATGTTCCATAGAAAACCCTGAATTTGTAATCTCCCACAAAAAACTCTGAATTTAGTAAAAACTTACACAAAATTTCAAACTTACAATTTTCTTCCATATAAAACCTTTGACTTGTTTGACCAAAAATTTTGCTGACGTAGCACGACGGATTGCCGACATGGCACTGACTGAGTTGACACGTCAACGCCACGTCATCATTTTAAAAATTTAAATATAAATTTCTAATTTTTGGTCAAATATATATATTTGTATATATATTAAGTTTGTAATTTAAAATTTAAAATATAAAAATATATATATATACATATATATTTTTATCATATATATATATATTTGTATATATATTAAGTTTGTATTTTAAAATTTTAAATATACAAATATATATACATATACCTATATACATACATACATATATATTTTTTTATCAAATATCTATAAATATATATATATTTGTATATATACTAAGTTTGTAATTTAAAATTTTAAATATACAAATATTTAATCAAATATATTAAATATTTTAATTTTTAAAATGATGATGTGGCGTTGATGTGGCAGGTGAGTCAATGCCATGTCAGCAATCTGGTGTGCCACGTCAGCAAAATTTTTGGTCAAACAAGTCAAAGGTTTTATATGGAAGAAAAATATAAATTTATAATTTTTGTGGAAGTTTTTACCAAATTCAGGATTTTTTGTAGGAGTCTACAAGTTCAGGGTTTTATATAGAACATTTTAATAAGTTTGAGGTTTTTTGCGGGATTAACCCCATTATAAAATTGAATCTGGTGTGCCACGTCAGCAAAATTTTTGGTCAAACAAGTCAAAGGTTTTATATGGAAGAAAAATATAAATTTATAATTTTTGTGGAAGTTTTTACCAAATTCAGGATTTTTTGTAGGAGTCTACAAGTTCAGGGTTTTATATAGAACATTTTAATAAGTTTGAGGTTTTTTGCGGGATTAACCCCATTATAAAATTGCAGTGCATTCTAATTTAAAATTTTAAATATACAAATATTTTAATCAAATATATAAATTTACATATATAAATATATTTTAATCAAACGTATAAATTTATATGTATATATATATATTTTTTTATCAAATATTTAAAATTTTAAAATGATGACGTGACGTTAACGTGTCAACTTAGTCAGCGCTATGTCAGCAATCTGTCGTGCCACGTCAACAAAATTTTTAGTCAAATAAGTCAAAGATTTTACATGGAATAAAATTATAAGTTTGTAATTTTTGTGGAAGTTTTTATCAAATTCAGGATTTTTTGTTGGAAATTGCAAGTTCAGGGTTTTATATGGAATATTTTAACAAGTTTGGGGTTTTTCGTGGGATTAACCTTTTTTTTTTGGATTTTTCCTTTATATAATATTAGAGTTTGCGATTTATTTTGTCAAAATAATTAGTTTAGATTTTATTTTGATAAATTCGACAAGTTTTTAATTCTCCTGATTAACATGAAATACCTGCTTTTAGTTAAAATTTTCTCTCTTGAATTTACGTAAAATTTACTCGTCACAAAGTCAGTAAATATATTGTTTTTTTCACATTTACTGATTTACACGTTTAATTACCTCAAAAAGTGGGTATGAAATGAATTCACCCGTCATCAGCTAGCCATCTAAACTCCGATCAGCATCAAAATTTAAAAAAAAACAATAATAATAGTTACAATTCATATTTTTTCATAATTCGAAACTGACCCCAAATTTTTAAGGGCACTTCGGATTCTTCCCGGGACCTCCGTAATAGAAATAATTACCCCAAACACGATTGAGGCCTCCTTGAATGTCGTAGCAATCGGGATGATCGGCAAGAACCTTGAGATTAGGAGGAGGGACCAAATTGTTATCAGAATCAACTATTTGGATATTTCTGAAATAAGAAGCTTTTGAGAACCCTTCCTCTGCAAAATGCGAACTCCCCATCTGCGTTGACGTGTGATCCCCAAAAGGACTTGAATTTACGATTTCGCCCCCGTATTGGACCATGCTCGCATGCTCTCGCAGGTGTGTGAACAAGAACGATGGCCAATACCCTACCAATATGCCCGACCCGAATTCTAGCCACCAATTCCCATGCTTCGGATCCTACATCCACCAATTTCGATACATATATGTATATATGATTAATATATATATTTACTCCAACACATGCAATGATTGCACACACACACACATATATATATACCCTACACCACATGGAATGATTTATATATGTATATAGTGAGGAGCATAGGCTTTGGGTGGATGTCTCTTAATTATGACCCATGAGAGGAGGCTAATTAAATAACATACTATATTTCTATCATCATTGTTTGAAGTTTGGTATATGCTTATACATACGATTAATTACGATAGCATATGGAAACATGCATACATACATACATACATATATGTAAATATATATTCTACGTCCATAGACATATGCAATGACTATATATGTGAAGTGGGAGTATATATATATATATACAGGGTTTGGATGTGTGGATGTCTTAATTAATTGTGGCCCATGAATAAAATACTATATATTTGTATACTCATTGTTAGTATTTGCTTTGGAGTTTGGTCTGCTTAAGCATTTGGAGACATGCATGTGAAAAAAAGGTGAACGTCAAAAATGCATGCCTTAGGGCAAAAGTAAAGAGATGGTAATAAGTGATTACATACATACTCAAGTATCTCTCTCTCTCTCAAATAAACAAAAAAGATAAAGAAGAGAATCTTCAAAAGCATGGATATGTACATACGCATTCACACACACACATATACAATATATATAGATATAAAAAAAATACTTGTAATAATACTATATCCACTTTTGGAAAATTGATAAATTAATTGTCAATTGTTTATGTTTTGATAATCGAAAGAATTTACATATAAAACAATATAATTTTTTTTAATAGAATTTCTAATTATATAAATTCAAAGTATAATAAATAAATAAATATAAACTAAATGAAAACATAGTATGATGTAAACTTTATATAACTTTAAATAAAACAACTAATTTTTAAAAAGTTTGTTTCTTTTTAATCGGACTAGGTTCAAAATTCAAATCCAACGATGGAATGGTGTTTACAAATCAATAGTTCATAGCCGGGTGAACTTATATATATAAATCGATTAATGCATTTATTTTTAGTAGAGGTTGGTGTACGGTTGTATATAAATTTAATTGATAAAATATAATATGCATATGAATATATAATTTAATGTTTAGTTTTTTGTGGGTTACCTTCCAAATGAGCAAAGTAATATCGAACTGTCCTCCCTCGTACGAGGATGTTGGAGAGATTGCAGCTCCAATTGCAATTTCGTTATTCGTTTGAACAAAACCCGAACACAATAAATTGTAGCATCCGGTTGCTTGATACGCATCGTTCTGCCCAAATTTAACCATATTCACTATATATATTTATATAATACGATAAATATTAACTTTAAGACGAAATAAAATGGTGTTTTGGAGTTATCACTTACGGTCCAATACGTGAAGAATCTCGGATAGTTGTCCCCGTAGAGCTCAGGACTAACCTAATCATTCATAATCAAATTTAATGATATTTTATAAGCGCCTGCTCTAGCATTCTGTGTATCGCGTCCCAACACCATTGTACTCCTCGAATCGACAAGACTTCGAGTGAAGTTAGACTCCCGAATTCTACCATGTACACTCTCCCTAAAACAATGACCAGTCAAATTTTCAGGGATAGATACTATAGAATCAGCAAGTTATTCACAGTATAAGAAGATTTTCGATTCTGATATATATATATATATATATATATATATATATATATATACCTGCCAGCCAGCTTCAATGGTGTTGAGGTCATTACCAAAGGAGCCAGAAATAATCCAGATTTGAGATAAACTAAATTCGTATTGGTTCTCGACTTTTGGGGCCCACACGTTTATGCTTGCCTTTGCTCCGTAGTACTCTTCCCCGCTCACGTACCCCACCGCATGCTGTCGATATACACAAATTTCAAATAACATAAAAAATACACATTTTTATACTAAATTATTTTCATATATTCAAACAATTCCGGTTGAGATAATTAAAAATTATTTTACTTAATAAAAAAATGTGATAAATTTTGGGTTAATCAAAAAGAAGATTTTTGTAGTTTGCTTGTAATATCCGACAGGCTTGTCATCTTTTTTGCAATTCTAAAAAGATGATATTAAAATAAATCGTTATAGAGAAAAACTTGCCATTTTCTTTGACCACTTTTTTCTTCTTCTGAATTTGAGCCAAAGACAGAAACCAAAACCCATCATAGATATCTCTCAATCTTTCAGTCCCAACTCCAAGAACCGAGCATATTCAAATATACAAAATTATATTTTTCATAAATCGATTTACACCGCGTAATATTTCTGTTTTTGTTTTTTTTTCCAAACCATTTATCTATTTTGGAAAAAAAAAAAAAAAGAAGAGGGCTTACTTCATGGCCATTGTTACTGGCGTCTCTTCTGAAGTTCCCGAGTTTCTTTCCAAAGCTCGAAAGAGACGTAGCTCTGAGAATGTCTCTTTCTTTTGTTCTTCGTATTGGAACTGTCCCCTGAGGACACGACTCTCCTGCCCTTCTCCATAGCTGGAAATCCTTCAGTTTCATTCCTCTTCTGTGATGCCCTCTTGGCCTCTCCGGTGGTTCCTGCTCTCGATTATCCATAGTTAAACTCAGATTAGGCTGTTGATTAAGGGGTTTCATTACAAAAAAAAGGGGGTAATCAAAGATTAAAGATGATACAACACCATTGGCTTTTGCCCTCTTAATCTCGGATGGTCAAAAGCGGGTTGATTATATGCTGAAACACAGTCTATGATGTCACCATCAGGGCTCTGCAACAACAAAACAGAATCATAACCAAATAAAAAAGACAAGTGAAAGAAAAACAGAGCAAGAAACAGAGTATAAGGGCGAGATCCTTACTTGGATAGTCTTCATGGCAGATTTGTTGATGTTCTTGAGGTACTGTCTTACAGTTCTGAGTTTCTTGAGCTCCTCGAGTGGTCGGAAAGTTTGGTTTCTCTGTAAGAGATTCTCTGTTTCCGAAGACCCGACAGTGGAAAAGGAAGAAGAAGAAGAAGACAAGAGAAGAAAACAGAGCAAGAGACTCCGAGTTATCGCGGAAGGAGGAGATAGCAACACAGTCAGCATATCTTCTAAGGATCTGATGAATCTTCTTCTCGTTCTCGTTCGTCTTCGGCTTCCTTCTCTTGCCATCTTCCTCACTGTTTCTTCTTCCGCATCATCTGTTTGTCTCAACATCATGGTCTGATCGGGACGACAGCAGCAACATTCACTGCTGTTTCTGATAAACGGGAACACACCTCCCATGGAAACCCAGAAATGCCTTTTCTTCTATCGAGATGATTTGTGAAAGAGAATCAGACGCTAACTTGTGTTTCAAGCTCTCACCATTTCCAAAGATATTGAACCTGAGCCCACTCAACAGCTTAATTAAGAATCGAATACAAGGTTCTTCATGAGAAACATGACATGGAGAGAGAGAGAGGCTTGTGGTTTCTTAAAGTGATAGACACAGTGTGCGATATAAGTACGTGGGGTAGTGACGAAATCATTCCTTGTTCCTTTTTTTTTTTTGAAAAAAAAAACAACAAAATCATAAGTCCACGACAAGAAGTGACACGTCAGCAAAATCGACGACAACATTTCCTGCTCCGTCTCAAAATACATCGTCCAATAGAAACAAAGGATTGTTAGCGAAACATGCCAAACTCATCTTTTTAATTACCAATACATATTAAATACAAAAAGATATTTATTTTGCCCCTTAAAATCATAAATAATTGGTATCGATATAACAGAACAAAAAAAAAAGTAATCTATTTTATTCAGAAACAAATCAAAAACTATATTTTTTTTACCATCTAAAAATCCAAGAATATAAAAATAAAACCTTACCTTTGGTATAGCTATATATCTGTATGTACATAATTACATACATGCATTACACAATATAATGAGTGATTTATAACTGTGCATGTAAGTAAGCAAATATATATCATATGGAGAGAAAAAAAAAAAGAAACAAGAGAGAAAAAAAACGTGGGAGCAAGGTGTTCCCGGTCAAGAATACAAAGGCTGAAACAGGAAGTAGACGTTGTGGGGAGATTTATGGACCAAGAAAATGGTCTGAAAGGACACAACTCAATGTCTGTGTTTTGTGTTACGGTCTTGTTTTTTTCTCTTTATTTTTTGTTATGGGTGTTGGACCACGAATTTGTATAAATATATATATATTCTGCAGAGCTTATGTTAGTATGAAAAAAAAAAGATGATAAATTTTGATAGGGAATAACACAACATTATTACAGTAATCGCAACTTTTTTTTTGTTTTAAATTAGTCATTACAATATTATATAAATCATTCCAACCAAAGATTTAAACCTCCAACCTTGGAAATAAATGGTTTAGTACTCAACTAACTCACATGAGATTTCTCCCGACATAATTTAATTACCTAGCAAGAGCTTTTACAATTTTCCAATTACCTATATTTTATTTTATCGCAATTTATCTACGTATTGCATCCCATAATATCTTAAATACTCATCATTCATCTTTCGCTTATATAAATAAATAAACAAAACATGGTAGTTAATAAAAAAATTTCTTTTAAAAAAATCACCGGTTTATGTATGTAATTAATGGTGATGGGAGAGAGGTGCTTTTGGATGCATGCTCATGATCTTTGAGTGCATTATAGTATAGAGACCGGACCCATCCATCCATACTTTTTAATTTATGTGTGGTTTGGTTGGATTTTAGTTGTTTCCGTTAAGCAAGAAATTAAGACCGTGGATTTAGTGGATTAAGCACCAAGTAGTCATAAAATCCTCTCATTAATCTGGCGTTTTGTTTTTGCTTAAACCCAACACTTGATTACCATATATAGTTAACTGATAGCAATTCAGGATAGAAAAATCCCATGAAAATAGACGATATATTTTTAGTTCGACAAATAAATAATACTAAATGTTAGAAATGTATCAAACCAATACATAAATTCTTTAATTTGAAAATATATTTCCACATATATATATCCACGAGGCCGTTGAGATTCATATGTGAAATTAATATCTATTAATGTCAATTAACATCCGTGTATGAAATAATTTCAAACAATTTGCATATATACCATCAACGGCGCTTTTGATTTTAAATATCGGGATACTTTTTGATACATTTTAAAATTTGATATATTTACTTATCAAGGTACATGTCATATTTTTTCAAACATTTTATAAAATTCACGTATATTTATAGGATTTTTCCTTTGAGATATATTATTATTTTGCATTTTATCTTAATAGTTGTCTCTCCCGCTTTATGTCTAACTCTAAAGAAACGATTTTTTTTTTTTACCGGAAGGTTAATCATCCATTCGCCTCAACTACATCCACCTTTAGTTACGTATTTTATTGTGCTCCTTCTCCTCACATGCGAGATTCGAAAGTGTCTTCGGTACAACCAGGTTGTCACTCGACCACAAACATATGTGAGTTAAAGAAACGATTTAGTTTGAACTAGAATCGTAACTAATTTTCGAGATATTATAAGATTGAAAAATGTAACCTATTTCTCTACTAAAACTATAATTTTGTATGAGGAATATGATCGCATAATCCGAATAAGAGGGACACTCAAGAATCGTAGGAATAAAAAAGGATGGATTTCGGTGACGTAATTTTACCATTTCAAGGCATCTGCCAATCATACCTTCCACTTCTCTCTTTTAAATAATCTCATATTATATCATATCATATTATATTATATCATATTATATCATATTGTATGTGTATGGTATGGGCATCTCATGAGATGAGAACTCCAAGCTCTCTTCCCCCCCCTGAAGCCAACCACCACTTCAGCATATCAAAATGGCAAAGTATTCCAAATTTAAAACCCACGTGTGATTCTGCCAAAGTTTTGTATTCATTTACTTGCAGTCATTGCACTTGTTGGGTTGTGTTTGTGTAACGTTGAGATTGGTATCGTTTATATATATACGTGTGGTTATATAATGTATGCATAAAAATCCATTTACAGACGAATGATTGTTACGCAATGCACCGATTATGATTTCTGATGGTTTCTAGCAATTGAAAAATTTATTACCGCAATTGCAACAACGGTAAAATTCTGATCGCAGCTTTTTACCTACATTACGATAGCATTTTACATTGTTTTAGATAAAATTAACAAAAATACTCTAGGTTGTAATATTTTATAAACAATCACATATATATATAGATACATATATACATACTCATATATAGATGTACATAAACCTACATGTATATAATACATATATAATATATATATATATATATTCATATATACATGCATACATATATGTGTATATATATAGACATTTATATACACGCATACATTCATATCTAGGTATATACATTATTTATATAAATATATAGACATTTACACAAATATATAGACATTAGGGAAATGTTTTTCTATTATTGATAATTGGAAGAATACATCATAATATATAGCAAAATACAATAGAATATTCTAAGCATAATATCTAGGGTAAATCATAATCATATCAATGATAATATTCTAATAATAATATCTTCCTATATACCCTTCAAGATAAATCATCTATGATGACTTCAATCTTGTTACATAAAAACTGAAAACTGAAATTGTGATCGTATTAAACGAATCATCTTCAATGTGGTGGTGTAGTTCAGACTTGAGTCGGTGTTGCTTGATAGCGTTTGAAGAGTTTGAGAGTTGTATTCTCAGAGGCTGATATGGCACGAATGGCACGATAGTGCGACGCATATGCGTGAATTGTGTTGCACGACAATGAAGTCGACAGCGCAAAAAACTGCGGTGTATATAGCGGTTAGGCCAGAGAAAAAAAAAATGGGCGCAAAAGCGCGACGCATAATGCGTGATAGTCTAGCAGCGGGACAAGAGAAGAGAATAAGAATAAGTAACGCAAATATGTGGATCGACGATCGGAGTTTTCCAATCGAAAGAGGCTAAAAGCCATGTTTAAAGAGCTCACAACGGTAAACGAACGCCGTCAGAGAAGATAAAAAGTAGCACATCAGTTAGGATTGACAGTGATGAACACCGCCGTCGGGGAAAAAAATTAGAAGAAAAAAAGAGCAAAATAAATTTAAAATGATACTCAAGGCGATGATACTATTGGATTTAGTATATCATTGTCATCTTCATCGTCGCTTTCGGATTCGACCAACATTGTTGATGAGAAGAAAAAAAATTAAAGCAAAAATCGAAGCTCTGATACCATAATAGGGAAATGTTTTTCTATTATTGATAATTAGAAGAATACATCATAATATATAGCAAAATACAATAGAATATTCTAGGCATAATATCTAGGGTAAATCATAATCATATCAATGATAATATTCTAATAATAATATTCTAATAATAATTATAGGAAGATATTATTATTAGAATATTATCATTGATATGATTATGATTTACCCTAAATATTATGCCTAGAATATTCTATTGTATTTTGCTATATATTATGATATATTCTTCCCACTATTATAATGAAAAACATTTTCCCATCAGAGTTTCAGTTTTTGTTCTAGATTTTTTTTCTTTACATCAATAATGCTGGTCGAATCCGAAAGCGATGATGAAGATGATGATGATCTACTCTAATAGTATCATCGTCTTGAATATCATCTTTCATTCTTTTTATTTTTTTTAGTCTTTATTTTTTCCGATGGCGGTACTCATCACCATCAACCCTAACTAATGTGCCACTTTTTTTTTCCTCTGATGACGTTCTTTTATCGATGTCAACCCTAGCCGTTGTGAGCTCTTTAAACATAGCTTTTAGCCTCTTTCGATTGGAAAACTCCGATCGTCAATCCACGTATTTGCGTCACTTATTTTTATTTTCTTCTTTTGTCCCGCTGTTAGACTATCACGCATTATGCGTCGCACTTTTGCGCCCCTTTTTTTTTTCTCCGGCCTAACCGCTATATACACCGCAGTTTTTTGTGTTGTCGACTTCATTGTCGTGCAACCTAATTCACGCATACGCGTCGCACTTTCGTGTCATATCAGCCTCTGAGAATACAACTCTCAAGTTCTTCAAATGTTATCAAGCAATACCGACTCAAGTTTGAACTACACTACCACATGGAAGATGATTCGTTTAATACGATCACAATTTCTGTTTTCAGTTTTTATGTAACAAGATTGAATTCATCATAGATAATTCATCTTGAGGGGGCATATAGGAAGATATTATTTTTAGAATATTATCATTGATATGATTATGATTTACCCTAGATATTATGCCTAGAATATTCTATTCTATTTTGTTATATATTATGATGTATTCTTCCTATTATTATAATAGAAAAATATTTTCCCTATTAACATATACACACGCATACATCCATAGGTTTATGTATATGCACATATACACAATAACATTTATTGATTTTATTTGGATTTATCACCAAAAAAAATTAAATTTATTATACTAAAATTACTTTTTATTAAAAATAAATTAAATCGATAAAATATTAATTATTTATAAATTTGATAAAAAAATTGTTATCAAATATTATTAAAGAAACTAATTAAAATTATTTTAGAAATTAATTTATTATATACCATATATAATATCTTTTTTTAATAATTTACACCAAATCACAACCTAGCAGGTGGTAACCCGTCAATGTAAATCTTAACTACTCACAAACGCTATCAAAATCATTTTTCTACCAATCATCATCAATAGCCTATTTTTTAACTAGCATACTCATAGGAAAAAATTAATTGAATTAAATTAAATTAGATATACAAACTAATTAGTTATGATATTTAAAAATATAATTAATTAAATCTCAGCTAAATTAAATATCGTACTGAACAAGGACGTTTTCTTAAAACATGGGATGACTACTCATAACAATACATTCATCTCAAAACAATTACTTTTTTTGTAACATGGGAAACTCATTTACGGTCCTTTGGACCAGACCCCGCAACGCCTCACAGTCCATTGGGTCGGACGAAAACAACATCGCAGACAGTAAACCTTACGTCCACGCGCATAAGCTTGCGATACACACATGTGAGGTAAATCAGCAGTAATGGACAGGCGACAGGTGAGTGGCAAAGAGTCGAATCTCAAACCTCTTGGTCTATTGACCTTGCTCCTTACCAATTCACCTGGGGTTTCCCCTTCAAAACAATTACTTTTTTTTTTAATAATTGAGGACCCTAGCTGCTACCGTTCCGGCGTCCTAACTAGGTAAACCTCCGACCCGGGAGCAGCCTTTATATATAGATCATATAAATCCAGAAATTACCTCCCTCTCCACCAACCAGGAATCGAACACTCAACCTCAAGGTGGAATTATCTCCTACCCCAAACTTGACCACTCGCCCACGATGCGTTGGGTTCAAAACAATTACTTTTGTATAAAAGTAATAACAAATTTGATATAAGAATGACAATGGTAATGTAACATGGAGATCACTTGTCTATGAAGGAAATTAACCCTCTGTTGCATTCTATCGATATTCATGTATTATATATATATATACACATATACGTATGCATTATGCATTATGCATTATGCATTATGCATTTTCCAAGTCGACGTTTGTATGAACCGTATTTTCACGGATACGTAATACTCAAGAGAGCAAAATTTGAACCACGTGAAAGCGATTATATAAACCAAATCACGAACAAAAGTTGTACTTGACTATTACAAACAAGTGCCTAAAACACTTGTTCCTTTGTCGGAAACTTAGGGTTTAGAGGGGATGGATTAGTTAATACAGATTTCGAGATTACTGAAAGAGATTTTATGGATCTTAATAACTTAACGTCGTCTAATCAACGTAGAAAGCGACAGGCAGTTGCTCCCCATCTTCCTTAATGTATCGGCTGCGTTTTGAACGTTGTTTATCTGCCGCGATTCTATGAACGCGTCTACGCACGCACCGTAATCGCTGACCGCTGCGGTTAGGAAGGTGTTGAGAGCTTTCACGTTGCGTTTCCTTATACTCTTTCTCGCGTTTCGGAGGTTTATAAGCGCGTCGACGAACGTTGCGTAGCACGTCGCGATCGCTTGGTTCCCGCTCTTGTACCTTTTCGACCCACAGAAATGAGATATTATATAAGATTATAAATGTACATAATTAGGGTTTTAATTAACCTATATACGTTCTGCTTCTATTCATTTTCTCATTTAATTATTTGTATCAATACACAGAAAACCCTATCCATACGTACGGTAGAAAACCTTTATTATATAAATCTACAATACTATATGATATGCATCTTATATGTTGGATAAACTACATCGGATTTCGAATCTTGTCAATTCAAGGTTTATGAACATCCCATATATATATATATATATATATATATATATATATATAAACTCAGAGAAACTTGGTTTAACATATTTTTAAAAAGAAAGCATCAAATCGTAAATGATTTTGATTCTTGTAACCGGGATTTCACGGTTGAAAAAATTGAAGATTACGTTGTTCCAACCAAAATTTAATCGATTCGAAAAGAATATGTTTCGATTTCCTTTACAGTATATATATATATAAGATTTTTTTGTGAAAAAGATATATAAATACCTGGACGCTTCGGCGAGGGAAGTTTTGGTTCTGGCCTCCAGGGCTCGGATCAAGCGATGGGTGGCTCGTCTCGGACTGATGAGTCGCCTCACCAACGGTCCACACAGCGACGGATAAGCCGTGTGGCTGCACAGGTTAACCCTACGCGCCTCCGCGGTTGCGATTGCCAACGTCATTACGATTGCGACCGCGATTGCGGCCAGGTGCGGTGAGAACGCGGCTCGGCCCCCCATTTCACCAACCTTTTTTTTTCTTTTTGTTAATTTCGGTGTTTTGAAAATTTTTCTTTTTTGGTCAAATTTGGGTTTTTGAGAAATGGAAATTAAAGGGCAATTTTAAAATTATTTCTATTTGTTATATTTATAAATATTTTGTTTCTGAATTCATCGGTAACCCGTGTTTTCTGTTTCTAAATTTATCTTTGTTTATAAGTTATAAACAGTATCTGTTTTCTAATTGTTTTTAATCGAATTTTAGAATTCCTGCAACTTTCTTTGGGTCATGGGCAAAAGTTGGATTGACCACGATATAATATACTCGACATATATATATATATATATATATATATATATATATATATATATATATCACGGAACTTTTACTCATAAAATCATAATTATTTTAAATCAAACGTACCAATTTCTAAGCATCCCCAATTTTAGGTTGAGATTACTAACTGTAGAATGAATGAATGAATAAACAAATGGAATCTCTACTAATTGCTATATGGGTTTTAGTTTTAACAGAATTTTTTCGATTTTTAGTAATTCATTGTAAAAAAAATGTAATTTTCGCAACACCTTTTAAAATCAAGGTTATTCAGTGAAAAAAAAAATAAATGTTCAAATAAAAACATTCAGCTGATACAAAGTACAAACCCCAAAGAACACAGGACGTGAAACAAAATAAATGGAAACTAGGATTTTCTTTTTGATGTCAAAATCAATGGAAGTTTTAGATTAGAAGATGGATTTTGGTCATTTCATTCGATTCGGACCAAGTTACGATTCATGAACTTGAACCTGCAGATCTCATCGAAGAAATCGTCAGCACTACGGTGGCTGCTCTTCATCTGAAGGATCCTTATCACCATCACTCTGAGCGATTTCCCATGTTTCACCAGCGATTCCAGCGTATTCATCTTCTGCTCTGCGTTCAACGGCGATCTCACCGTTATCACCACTTCCTCCAAACACGGAATCGAGAACCCTCTCTCCACCTGCAAATATAATATCAGGGATTCGGGTTTAGATAACCCGGAAATCTCGTATATACCCACCGCTGCTTCAGACAAGAACAGAGGAGAACCAAGAAAAGATCGAGCCTTTTTGTTCTTTAGACTATAAGCTTCTTACGTTCTTTAAGCTGTTTTTCTGGCAAAGCGCGGCGAACATTGCTCCATGGATGTCGAACTTTTGCAGCTTAGGATGGTTATTGAAGAACTCGACGATATCCAACTCGGGGAAGGGTTGCAAGGCCTCGTGATCGCCCGTGAATTCGACCTTCATGTACAGATGCTTCACTTCTCTCGCCTGCTCTAGCATTCTGTGTATCGCGTCCCAACACCATTGTACTCCTCGAATCGACAAGACTTCGAGTGAAGTTAGACTCCCGAATTCTACCATGTACACTCTCCCTAAAACAATGACCAGTCAAATTTTCAGGGATAGATACTATAGAATCAGCAAGTTATTCACAGTATAAGAAGATTTTCGATTCTGGTTTACCAGCAGAATTGGAGATTGAGAGGTTCTTTAAGGACCTCGTTTCGGGGACCCTGATCCAGCTACAGCCTTGAACATCAAGGGACTCAAGTCTTGAGCTCGTGAGAGAGAGCACGCTGCTACCCGATCCGTTGAAATCCAGCTTACATTTCTCCAAGAGGGGCAATTCGATCGAAATGGATTTAACTCCTTCACAGCCAAGCAGAAGCAAGTTTCTCAAGTTCGGGCAAGCACGTAATGCATTAGTTAACACGGTATCCTCCACTCTAGCTCCGACTATTTCAAGGCAATGAAGGCTCTGGAACATGACCCATTTGGGAGGATTAACCATTAAAACCCCCCAAAGCTTCAAAATCTCCAAATTCTTGGCCATACCGATACAATCGAGTTTCGAGGATGCCTCCATTGCTTGACAAGTAGTGAGGTTGTCCATTCTCAGCTCGAGATGCCTAAGAGACGAACCGATGTTCATCAACCAAGAAGCAAGGCCTTTGCTGGTGAACGAGCTGTACACCACAAGCCCCTCAAGACGAGAAAAGGACGAGATCGTGTTCAAAACAATGCTGTCGGGGTCTTCATTCACCAAGATTTTATCAAAGGAATTCCGGGGAAAGTATATGGTCTTGACATATTCCGTCGATTCTTTCCACCGCTTGGACACGCAGTTGCACAATGCGATGTCCCGAGCATTTGTCATGTCGGAAAGGATGTGTTGAAGGAGCGCATCGGGAAGGTGATCCATTTAACTGAGACAAATCATCGAACAGGTTACAGGCAGCTAAAGCTTCTCCCCAATACATTACTCCACAACCACATGACATGAATGCAAAAAAAAAAAAAACTTTCACATAATACAGAGTGTGAATTAGAGAAACGAAAATGGCTGCAACAAGTTCAATCATTTAGGCTCACAAATTTCAAACCCAAGATTTTTATTCATTGCAAACACAGCCGAATATCTGGGTTTTGAAAGAAGAACATTTCAAGAGCTCAAATTCCTTGGAAATCGTTTTTGCATTTCCAGATCTACAATTGCTTCCAACTCTCCTGATTCCGATAGTCTCAAATCTCCATATGTCCGACAAAACCCAGCAAAAACACATAGATGGATTGAACAGGAGATTAAAAGAAAATCAATGAGAACATAAATTTAGCTCATTCGTTTGGGTAAAATGATATTCAGCTTCTTAGATACAATCAGCAACACAAAAATTCATCACTGTATGAATTTCGGATGAAAGACGAGGGACATCAACCATTTGAGCAAATTAAAGCTACATATTTTGAGATGAGAGATCTTACTGTATGAATTTCGGATGAAAAACGAGAAACAGGTCCGTGTTTCGTATGTTCACCCAGGAAGCAGAGAGAGAGAGAGAGAGAGAGAGAGAGAGAGAGAGAGAATTTGTAGAGGGTGTTGGGAGTGGCGCGTCAGGAATCGGAGGGCTGAGATTCAAAATTTTTAAGAAAATAGTTTTTTAATTTTAAATTCCCGGGATTTCATAATCTCTTTTTTTATTCATAAAAAAGCACGCAGCTTTCTAATTACAAAATTTTGAAATTTCCATCCCATCCCTTGCAAGTTGCAACGGTCCAAAGTGCCTATACTAAAATCTGGATTTATATTTCATTGTGATATCAAAATAACCGAATGATATTATGTAATCATATCTAAATTTAATTTAATGTAAAAATATTTATGTATAAGTTTTTAATAAAAAATAAAAAAAATAGGAATGTACAAGGGTTTGGGTCGGACAGTTTGATCTTTGATTTTGAATCCGATCTGGTCTGACTCGTTTTTTAGCGAATCAAAAATTATTTGGTTCAATCCGATTGACTTTGGATCAAGAATCAAATAATCCGACCCTCAAGCTAAATACCTAACTAAACAAACAAAATTTTAATACTATAAAATATTTAAAAATATTATAAAAATAAGGAAAAATCCCAAAAAAATTACTGAACTTGGAGATATCTCACAGAAAAATACTGAACTTTTTCGATTTCCAAATAAAACATGAATTTGTAGATCTTAACACATTTAATACTGATCTTTTGAATTTTTGCCAAATATCCGATCGATCGTAAACGGCGTTAAAGTCAATAACGGAACGCGTGACGTGGAGCCCAATTATTGCCACGTATGATGACACGTCAGATTTAAAAATTACAAAATAAAATTCAGCCGGTTAACATAAACTGGATCGAACCAGTTAATAAAATACATAAAATCGACCGGTTAACATAAATTCGATCGGTTAGAATAGATTTTAATCTTAGGGTTTCAGTTTCAATCCCAAAAACTCTCGAACGATTCTCTCTCCCTCCCACCTCTCTCTCTCTCTCTCTTTCTCTCTGTCGGACCGATTCACCGTCGAGAAAAAACACAACAAGGGAGGGAACGAAGAATTCAATCCGTCACAGCTTATAATATTCAGGTATTATCTGAACTTTCAGATGACAACCCTTGCAATGATTGTCGTTTTGAAGCTCTGATTGAGAGGATTTGAAAAATCCTAAAGATTAGGGTTTCAGATTTTGTTGTTGTTAAAGGGATGTAAAAGGTTTTATTTTGAGTTAGAGTGTTTGAAGTAGTGTTGAATCCGAGATTTTGGTGTTGATTGTCCGAAATCCGAGATTTTGGTGGTTTTTGATTTTGATTTTGGTTTGATTTTAGTTTTGGTGTGTCAAAGTTGATATCGGTTAAAAATCGATGAAGAATAAGTTGAGTAATTTTTGTTATAGATGAGTCACATGTCAGAGGGTGGTAGAAGTAGTTCTCGTTCAAATGCAATGTCAAGTTGGAGATCGGGTCATGAGTCAGATCGGGTCAAATGTGTACCTCGACATTGTCAATGTGGAAGCGATATTGTAATGTGGATATCAAGAACAGACAACAACCCGGGAAGAGTTTTTTTGTGTTGTGCTAAACAACAGGTTAAAATTATATTTTGAAACAAGTTATTGTAGTGTATAGTTTTGATGTATGATGTTGTTTGTGTATGCTAGGGAAACTATGAGCATGTGTTCAAATGGGTTGATGAGGCCATGGTGGAAGAAACATAGATCTTACGCGAAACATTGAAAAACTGGAGTTGGAGAATGAAAATCAGAAAAAAGAGTTGAAAATGTACAAAATGGAGCTGCAAAACAACAAGATGGAGCTACAAAACAACAACATTGAACTCAAAAAATACATAGCTTCTGCTGAAGCGTATAAAGATGTTATGAACAAAGTGGTTGTAGTTTTTGTTTTAGTTTGTGTTGTTAGCTACTACCATATGTTATTGAAGTAGTAGTTGTTGTAGTTATTAGTTTGTGTTGTTATTGAAGTAGTAGTTGTTGTAGTTATTAGTTTGTGTTGTAGAAGAAAATTGAAGAATATGTGATGTGTTGTTTTGAAGAGAACGGATGTTATGAATATGTAATATTTTGTTTTGAAGAAAACTGATGAAAATGTGTTTGTCTATGTAATGCATTTGTTTCTGATTTGATGATATATAAACTTTGGATGAGATATGAGATGTTATTGTGACATATATAACAGATAAATAACCAGAAAACTAGCTTAATTAAGATTGAACAATAATTGTCCACAGAGAGCATGAAGTCTGGATTTAGGATTAGCCAAAATACATGAAGTCTGCCTAACCAAAAACACATACCAACATAAACCTGCTGAAGTATGCTCGATCATAAGAAAAAAATAACAAACATAACGATGACCACCAAAACGGTTCGAGCAAATCACAGGATAGCAAAAAAAAAAGCAGACATGACTATGTTGGTGTGTTGGGTCTTGATTACTTCCATGGGACTTGGAACAATGTGTTGGTAAGTGTTGTTCTCGGGCCGAATTGCGGTGTACGCGTATTGCCCAGTATACGACGGTGTGTAGGCAGCCTCTGTTGTTGTGTCTGCACAGTCTGACTTCTTTGAGTTGGTTGAGTTGGGTCTAGGGTACCTGTAACATACATCAATTTCACTATATGTAAGCGCTGAGAACATAAAACTATTAAATGATGTAAGGGTACCTGAATTTTGTGATGTATTTATTTGTCTGCGTTTTCTGAACCTGAACTCTTTCATTTTGAACTTGATGTTGGTTGTAATGCTCTAGGATGATCCATGATATGACATTTTACTTTGTATTGATTCATTGATTTATGAATGCATTATTTATCCGTTATACGATTAGCATGTTTGTTGTATTTCGGCATCCTTGAATCATTAGAGAATGATTCTAAACTCCCTAGTCAGTCATCATTGTGGGAACAATGTTGAATGAAGACTAGCATGAGGTGTGATCAACGCGTAGGATGTAGATCACAATCATGGGTACTCGTTGTGAACGAGTGACTGGATGACCCGCATGAGATTGTCACATGGACAGAGTCATGACTTGAATCTCATACAGCGGTTCATTTATGGATCCTCATACCTGAGATGTCTAGAGTATCTGATATGAGGAGTGACGTGTCTTGACTGCGTCAAACGTCGTCTTTAACCGGATGATTATAACGGCGTTGATCAGATACGTTCACGAATCATATGGAGATAATGGACATGCAATATGAGACTTGTCACCTCCTTAAAAGGAGAGATATCGCTGGGCCCTCTCGTGGAAGTCGGACTATGAAAACGCGTGGCCACGCTATAGATGAAGTTGCATCTATTTTACTAGTCGATTTACCAAGACGAGAAAGTGGTTGAACTTGAAGGGTGGCTCAAACCATGCCCTTGTTCAACACATGATATCGTGAGATAAAGGATCAGAACTCGAGCTGTTATTGCCTTGGTTAGATCACCTCTAACTCAATTCTAAATGGGTGGTCATGGCGTCTTGCTAGAGGCTAACCATGACTTGTGGTTCGGGAAAGGTTCCTAAAGTCACTACCACTTAGAATGGGCCTACAAGGTCACACACCAATAGGGATGGACTTATACGTGAAGAATACGAAGAATGGAAACGAGATTTGACCGAAACGAGCACGAAAAGGAGTTTTCAGTGTGTTGGTCCGGAGCTGACCAAGTTTGGTCAGCCCCGGACGAAGTTGGTTAGATCAGGCAGTCTGGAAGCTCAGTCCGACGTCATCTGTCTAGGTCTGGTCCGACTGACCAAGAGTTGGTCAGCCCCG